AAGGTACCCGGAGATAGGTTGTTGTTCTGAAACAAGAATTAAATAGTTATTATTTATATCTTCTAAAATCCTGAGAAGTGGAAAATTTAGTCAGTGATTATTGTGAGAAACCTTACCTTGTTGATTCCTAAGTACAAGATAGATTAAGTGAAATATTTGTCATTTTTCTTCATCTATTATTGCAGGTTATTTTGTTTTGAGAAAATCTGACACATCAGGGACACGAACCTCATTTCTTCGTCTTCTTATTTCATTTGTTTTCAGCCGCTGTCTCTTTCGGGCAAACGGACAATGGCCTTGAGTTGTGTTTGTACCGTACTTCAGCAGTCAGAGAGTCTAGGTAGCTTTCAGCCGTTTGATTTTTATTGGCTAGTATTAATTATTAATTATTTCCCGCACTTATTTTGAATTGGCGGAAATGGCACTTGATTGGCAGCGATGGAGATGACAGTAAAATAACCAATTAGGTACTGTTTTGATAACTCGGGACTAAACATGTGATGGTTTTTTCTGATGAGCAGAAACCCATTTTAGTAAAAGTTGGCGTTGTGTTTTTTTTTCTAATGGACTTGTTTAGCCTGTGAAATGGGCAGGGAATCATGTTGGCGCAGGGAATCTCTCTTCCGGCATCTTTCATTTTCCATCATCACGGCGATTGTGAGGAGCATGGTGATCGTGCTTGAAAAGATGATTTATTTTCGTTGGAGGTGTGATCGTGCAAAGGCCATCCTGATAGGAGGTGAGTCTCGAGATTATTTGATTAGGTCTTAGTCCATGATTGAATTTAAGTGATATTTTAACCCTGAATCTATTCTCATAGATTTGAGGGCCTTGCACGTGGGGTCCGAATACGTTGGGACTTCTCTACGTTCAATCCAGGCTGACTCTTTGGCTTACTCCTCGGCTTACTTCTCGGCTTACTTCCTGGCTTCTTCAGAGGCCAAATCTACCATCAAGCGGACATTCTTAGAAAGGGGCTCTGGTAGGTCCTTTTCATATCTGGATAACGACCACCCGGTGCCTGAACGGATTAGCGGCCCCATTTCATCGGAAAGGACCTACGATTTCGGCGACGAATACCTGGTGCCTGGACGGCCTAGCAATCTTCTGCTCTCTGGGGTGCTTCGACTACAGGACCCATTCTTCTTGGAGTCATCGACTCCACCCATCGAAGGTTCTAGGGCTCTGCTGTTACCAGTTTTGGGTAACTGAGGCATGGCTGGGTAACTTCATTAGACCCTCTACGAGTGACCACTACTATGACCACACCACTACTTTAACCATGAAGTAAGAATTTTCCAATTTTTCATATAAAAACCTTGTTGGAACCAGTTTTGATCACCAAAGGCTTCTACAATTATTGAAGAACACCTATTGCGCAATATACTCCAGGTTTAGGAGTTCATACCTTTTATTTTTAGATTTTTTGTAAAGATTTCCCGAAATTAATTAATAACTTCCTGTGAGCTGCGTTTATAGGCCTATAGCGGAGAGTTTGATAGTGCATATATACATTTGTGTTGAATTTGGATTACTAGCTCCATAACAGTACATGCAGTTGCTTTACTGAGAAAATGGTGTATTTTACTGATTAATTTCTATAACATTTATTAAATTACCCATGAGACCACAAGTGTGCTTTTATTATTTCTGATATTTTTCTTTCAGGTTAAAATTCCAATTTCATATTTTTTGTAACAACAAGACTCAACTTTTCTTGGTTTTTCACCCTAAAACAAACTAAGTGGCGCCTAACTAGCCACCTAACAAAATCAAAACTCTAGGCCTTTGCTCACCAGACCCAAGAGTTGCCGGAGCCAGTTGTGAGACTTGCTTTGCTTCTTTTTATTTATGAAAATAGATGAAAAGTGGCAAAATTCGTATCACATTCTAATTATTTTCTAGGAGTTTTTAGGTTATGTCTATTTTGTCTGGAATCATCAAGACAATCATCTAAATGATCTTCACAAAAGACAGAGAAGATGATCTATCCCTGAATAAGAATTGATCTTACCGTACTCCTGAAAGACTATAAGTATGATCCAGTTACATAGTGATAATTTGAGACAGATCAACTACTATCTATCTATGTATCATTTTAGTTATTATGCTTCATGAATCCAGTCATACCAAGCTTAGCTTTATGATTTCTGCATAGTCCAGTGAACTCTTACTGACTTTCTGAAAAGTAATAGGTAAATATATATCCGAGTTTTTGGAAGTTTTCTGACTTATTTTGAAATTCTTTTCTATGTTCTTCTTCTAGTTATGACATATAACTCACCCATTATTTTTGTAATTCGTGGAATATGAACACAATGCGTATTCACGAATCCCTCCTACTTTTCCACATATTATGGAATGCAGATACAGATTGGTTGCATTTCTATATTCCAGCAGAACAAACCTGGAATCTGAATAGGTATCATGAGCAGTTCATATTTTCATTCGAGTCTATTCAAGTCCTAGACTTCTTTAGTTCTTGACTTACTTTAACAACTACGAATAATATCTGAAAATCAATATTTTCACTGATCACACTGTTCGACCTGTTCACCATAATAGACAACAAACAAAATGGCTGGAATGGAATTGAATTGACTTTTGACAGTTGACAAGGTTACTTTGCCGTAGAAGGAAAAATATTATCCCCTTGTATCCTCTATACATGTAAGCTACGTTATAAGGTGGTGAAACGAAAACGTTGCACAAATAACATAACAACTCTGTCTGAGATATATCTGATGAACCTAAAATCAACATATCACGAAATTATCTAATGGTATTGATATCAATATTGATGCAACGTCTCATAAACGTTTTACTTCATAATATTATGTTGGATACTCCAGAAGGACATTATCGCAATGTTATTTCAACAATATCACAAAACTTATAACTGAAAAATATTTTTGTTATGTATCATGTTTAGTGGGCACCCACTTCAACATATTGTTTTCTATTTGATAGATAATTTTGGAACCAATTATGAATTCTTCCTCTGACACCAATTGCAAATGATTTATTTGATAAAATGTTATGGTTGACAGTATCAAAATGGACAAATCAGATGATTTGCTCCAAAATGTCACTGTCTTCGAATGATTTCCCTATCAGAGATCCTATCAGAGATCCTAAAAGAAATATTCACTAGTTTTTTAGTGACAATTTGGACGTTTCGGGACCGAATCTGCTCCCATTTTCAACATAAAAAATGGTTAGTTGAATAGCAAAGTCGTATCTGTCTTGAAACTTTTCAGTTCCCAGTGACAATTGGTGACGTTGACAATCATATGAGTTACAGGATGTTTTCAATAATTGATCTTGAATTTTATCATTTTTCTTTACAGATTTCAGTAGTCAATACCATGTTCTGTCTATATCAACTGAACAAGAAGCAATGCTTTGGTCTCCATTCATAAGAATGCAATTAGATTCCTTGATTTTTCTCTTCTGGTTGTTATCTTCTTTTCCAATGATTTTAATATTATTTCACGCTGCCATATGTTGTTCAAAAAATGAGGAACAATCGTCAAAAAATTGTATTCACAGTATTCCTTGTGTTTGTGAAAAGTTCCACACAGGTGAAACCAAGAGACCTCTTTCAGTAAGGACGAAGGAAGAGGAACATAAGTACAATGAAAAGAAAAGACACATCGATAAATCGAAACCAGCTGAACATATCCTATAGCTGAAGACGGACAACATGTGGCATAGTAGAATGATGGAAATCATTGGAAAATAAGATTACAACCAGAAGAGATAAATCAAGGAATCTGCTTGCATTTTTCTGAACGGAGACAATAGCATTGCTTCTTGTTCAGTTGATATGGACAGAATATGGTATTCACTACTGAAATCTGAAAATGAAAATGGTAAATTCAAGATCAATTATTAATGGAAACATCCTGTTACTCATTTGATTGCCAACGTCACCAATTGTCACTGAGAACTGAAAAGTTTCAAGACAGATACGACTTTGCTATTCAAATAACCGTTTTTTATGTTGGAAACAGAAGCAAATTTGATCTCGAAACGTCCAGAGATAAGTGAAAATATGATATTTCTTCTATATTCCATTTTGCCTCTTCTCCAATCTTTTTTCAATACAAATTGTCATTGAAAAGCTATTGAATTCATCTTTTTGGCTCTCTGATAGGAAAATTCTTTAATCGCAGTGACATTTTGGGCAAAATCATCTGATTTTTCCTTATTACACGTATATTGAAATAATATTCATATTTTCATTTTATAGAAACGTGGAGAGAAAATCACAAAAAAATTGGAATAACGAAAGCTATATGGTTACGTTTCGACAACAAAACTAGATTCAATTCAAAGTTACCCCCTTGATTCCTTGAAATGTACTCTAAAAAGTGTTCTCGAATGTCATTTTCAGATCGACGGTAATAATTCATTTGTATCATTTTTGGATACAAACGTATATGTTATGAACCAAGGTATTCAAGTTACAGTGATGCAGAGTGATGCACATGGAAATGGTATAGCAGATTTTTCAAGTAGTAACATACTTTATTCATTCTTCGATTATAATCATGAATGGCACGGTTATTACAATGCTTCGATCTCGAGTAATTGAACGACCACTTTTACTCTCAATAGTTGATATATTTTGATTGCTATTGTTTCTCACATATGCAATGAGATTTCGTGATGCAGTTCACTGGGTTGGATGTAATCTGCTTATTTTCAAATGCGTACACAGCGTCATTACTCATACTTGACATATATCTGTCACATACACAAATCTGAAAACAACGAACTTGACAAGCCAATCAGTGTCAAGAGTCAAGTTCGGTGTTACTAATAATCCGAACAGTTCCACATTGGATCATTTGAAGAATTCATCATTGAATATCAACTGGAGATTACTTTCCTATACGTCACACGTACTTATATAGCAAGCTTCATCAGAAAAAACAGGGGGAATCTCTAGCTGTGTTAGATAAACCTGGAGCATTCAACCGTATTTGGCACCAATGACTCCTACACAAACAACCGTCATATACGGCTTACCATCTCAGCTATGCCAACTTTTATCGAGTTCCCTTTCAGGCAGATCGCTCCATTTGGTGGTGGACGGAGTATCGTCAAATACCATAGGCATCAATTCTGGTATTCCACAAGGATCAATTTTGGTAGGTACCAACATTGTCTTAACTTCATATCAATAATCTGTTGAGAATAATCACAGCTTTGCAGATGACAGTACTCTCCATACAGCGTTCACTCCCAGAAATCTCATCTCTTTCCAGAAAACTGAGAACTGACGGAGGAGGCAGGTCAATGCTGTCAATGAATATCTTGCTAACATAACAGCCTGGGCAACCAACCACTAAGCTGAATTCATTACACATAGGGTTATGTAACTTACTGTATTTGGTGCCTTTCAAAAAGTATATTCATGCATATAAATAATAATAATCACACGAGATACAGAAAGTCATTAATTTGCAGACATTACTCCATTCCTATTAGATTTTGTTTTTTTATATGATTCATGTATACTGCAGAATTCAGCTTGTTGCTGTTCACACCGTCATAATCAATGCATGTTCATGGCAAACAATATATGATATCTGTCGGATTAATCTTCCTCACGAAACTACCATGCATCGATGGAGTTTACTACGTAAAATAGCGTGGATCAATTACAAGGAGATGCTCTACGTGAAATTAGCGGGAGATAATCACAAGATAATGCTCCACCAAAAATTGGCGTGGATTAATTGAAAGGGAACTATCTACGCGAAACGTTGTTCAGTTCAATATCTCTATAACAACAATAATAATAATAATAATAATAATAATAATAATAATCGTCTTTTATTTGTACCACAGAAAAAAAGATACAAATGAGGCAAAGTTTAGTACAATGCTAATCTTACACTCAACCTCTGAAATTAAATACAAATGAATTTAAACATATTATATGATTACATGAGAGAAAACAAAAAAAAACAGTATTATTGCAAAATACTATAGGTACCTATTTCTAGCCATCACCATTTTAAACTACATGAAATATAATTTATAGAATGAAAATAATATATATGAATATATTATACAGATATACATCGATGTCATGTCTCTTATATATATGCATACATTATGTATATTTAATTATGAACAAAAACGAAAGCAAAAACGAAGTAAACTGCAACTTACTCAGATTCACTAAGTAGCATAGATACATTGATAAATTGAATAATACTTTGACATAGAAAATTAATGTTATTGTATTGTAAAAGTATTTTTTAAGTTGTTTCTTTAAATGATATTGTGATGATTGCAAATGGCAGCAGGAATTGCATTGAAAGCTTAACTGCATTACAAGTAAAACTTTTTCAAAATATAGCAGATCGATGTTGAGGTATATGAAGTGTATTGAATCTTCTGATATTCATTCTATGCATGTCGTGGCGGTGGCTTAGGCATTCCATTATATAAGTGGGTAATCCACTACTAAGCGTATTATGTACAAATTGAACCAGATGGAAAGTTCTTCTATTCGGCATATTTAGCCACCGTAGAGATTGGAAATGGGCGGATATATGATCAAATTTTCTTATGTTGAATATAAATCTACAACAAGAATTCTGCATACTTTGTATGCGAGTTTTATCCACTATATCTAGACAATATCCATAAATGTAATCGGCATAGTTGAAATGCGAAAGAACTAGACTTTTGCATGAATTTTTCCTCATAGTCATAGACAATATATGCATAAAACTGTCGAAGTGATAAATATCCTTTTTGTAACAGGCTGCTAACATGACTTGAAAACTTCAATTTTTCGTCAAATGAAACACCCAAATTTTTTGCAGTGTCCTTTATGGGAATCATTCTATTGTTAATGTGTATGTGTATGTGTATGTTATATGTTCTACTTCTGATACTTTCTCATTTTTTCCGATAAAAAGAATGACTGATTTTGCCGGATTGAGTTTGAGATTATGACCAACAGATAAATCGTTCAGATTTTGAAGATCAAGATCAATTTTATTTTCCATTTCAATGGGATTTTCACAGTCTAATGAGTATATCAATTGAGTGTCATCAGCATATGAGTGACAGTCACAGTTCTCGAATGATTTGACAATATCTGAAGTATACAGAATAAATAATAGCGGCCCCAATGCAGATCCTTGGGGAACACCAGCCTTCATGGTGATTTGATCAGATTTTAAGTTATTGATAAAAACCCTTTGAGTACGATTGGTTAGATAATTTTCTAATAATTTTAATGCTTCTCCTGAAAAGCCATGGAGTAATCCAAAAGCAGAAGCGCAGCAATTTTTTTTTCATCCTAAATTTTTATCATTTTGTTCATTACATCAGTAAGTGCTGACACAGTATACCATGTGCTTTCCGAAAACCTGACTGATTGAAAGGCAATATGTTATCATTATCTAAAAAGTAGCTATTTGCTTATGCATTATTTTCTCCATTATTTCAGACAGGACAATCAGTTGGAAAATAATTGCTCAAGATGCAACTATTGATAATATGTACAATATATTTGACTATAACGCATTTCGGGTGGAGACATTTTGAAATCAAGAACCACACTAATTTTTGCTAGGTTCTGAACACGGCCAAGAAATAATCTGCTATATAGACACCATCAACATAGGTGACTTGGCCCTGTTGCTTTCGAAATATAGATATGGATATAAATATGATATCACTAAAACATAGCCTATAAATGGACACAGGAATGCCCAATATCATTTAAATTAGTTTAATTGAGAAGTGATACATTTTGTCCATCAATAATTAGGATTGTCGTGATAGGAGACATTCTTCCTTTGATCCAACGTGCCGAAACTTGATTTAGTTTGTCGATGAATATCTTGAAGGTGATAAATTCGTAAGAAATAACGGGCGCATCTATGATTGATTGTTATTGCCTCATACCTGAACAAGATTCGGTATATGACAAAAATATATAAATGATTTCTTGTTTTTCAGCTACACAGATGGTTATAAGAATATTCTCAGTACAGAAATATGCAAAACGTAACATGAAGAGTATAATATAGAAGGATTTTATACACGATGGAATTTCTATGACATCTCTCGCTTACACAGTAGCTTCTTCAAGTAGAATTCTCGTATAATAAATAAAAGGAAATGAGGATTTTGTGGAGATCTCATCGTTTGTGAGGTTGATAATATAATAATTTGAGTTTGTTGTTGCACTACGACGACACGCATTACCTTTTTCTTCATAAATCGAAGTACGAGAGAGGATAGACTGGGGAATACAATGTATACAGTGTGTACGATGTCAACTAGCAATACCATTTTAATTTAATACCCCTCAACCTATTTTCCGAACAAGAAAAAATCAACAAGATTTCTTCGAAAACGTGGAGAAATCTGTAATATTCATCAGATTCTCAAGGCCTACTATTATTTGTTGACGGGATCGAATTTTCAAAACAACTTTAAGGTTTTTTTATCGAAAGAAATTAATTGCCTATTCGATTGAGGCATAGCTGAAAATCCCCTACATAATTCCTTATATAGAGTTTCAGTAATTCAATGGCAAATTTTCATATTTTGCTCATCAATTTACAGTGTATGAAAACAAAGGAGGTACTATATAACCGGTGGAGTGATCATTCGAATAAAGAGGAACACATTAAATACTTAAAATCAAGGTTTCATCGTTCAAACTTCCAGGGGAAGATCTCTCAAGGTGGACACGAACTAATGAAATTGAAGTTGAATAATGTTGTATCATGATCCATACCTCGATGTGTAAAGAGAAAAGGAAATGTTCGAAGTCATTATTCATTCTTAAATTCCCCAACATTTTAGTTGAACATCTGAAAGAAACTAAACACAATTGTCGACTTTCCCTAGATCGGCTTGGACATGAGCCCCTATGCAGCTGAAGACATCGTACCATGTCCTTACAATCTTAACGCTATCTCAAACCACAGCGGTACCACCTACAGCGGGCACTACACATCCTACTGCATCAGACATGTTTATACGAAAATTTGGCACGAGTACAATGGTTCCCTGGTTTCTTCAATTTCGTCGAATTCTCTCGTTAGTGGGGATGCTTATATTCTTTTTTACCAACAAGAGGCTCACCGCAAATACGAACAACGTGATGGTGACTCTGTGAAGAGCTACTGCTCCGTAGCTGATCCCGATAGCACCCTTCGTACTGTCCACTATTCCGCTGATAACTACGGCATGTACAACACAGTCGTGGAAAAGCATGAAACTCTAGTTCACCCAGCTCCAGCTGCACACTCTGCCCCAGTAGAGAATCTTTACTCTGCCCCAGAACAGAATGTATTCTCTGCCCCAGTACAGAAGGTATATTCTGCCCCACTTGCACATGCTTGCTCCAGTACGTGCAGCCCAGTATGTGCACGCTGCCTCAGCCGTTCCTTTTTCCCCAGCTCACTTGTGGAGTGAATGAAGTGGAAATCCTTTATTTATTCATTATGTTATGTTGATATGTTCATTCCATTTGGAATATATCTTTATGCAACAATTAATTCAAGGAGATATATATTCTCCATACTATAATAGTTTTCATAGTCATCTCAGATATTCACTTCATTTCGCCAAACTCGGTAGAAGAAATGTGCCTAATATGATGGCCCTCCTAAGGAATTTGCCTCATGATTTCCTCAACATATTTTCAATTGATTACCATTGAGGGACTCTTCACTCCTCATTAGTTGTTCTTGAATTTTAGCTATCATCAACCTCGCCAAAAATTGAATTCACATGCATTCATCTGAGATCCCCCGAGTGGTCCATCGAAGAAACATTACATTTCCATGATGGCCTCGGCCTCCTTACGGTTTACACACACACCTTTATTTTCAACATTCAAATTCTTTATTTTCTGAAATATCTTATAATGAGACCTGAACTCAAACACATAATTCGCAACCAAATTGCTTGCACCAAAGAAATGGATTCACAAAGTGCATTTCTACCTAACACATACTACATCTGTCAGATACATGATACATTTCACTATGAGAGTGAACTACGAATAATGAGAACATTAGTTTTCTCAGATCAACACCCTCCAATTTAGATTTCAATTCGTCAATTCACCCATATGCACTCAAAGCTTCTGAAAACTAGCAGCAACTGGCTGAAAAGGATTGATTCACGATCTGAGGTAGGCCATCATAGGCAGAGGGCCATCATAAGCACATTTTTCATACCTTCATTATCATGATGAAATCAAACATCAATATAATATCTAAACGAAAGTAGAGTGGTAGGAGATAAAAAGAAGGAAACAATTCCCAAAGTAATCTTCACGAAATTTGATAACATGGTATGTGTTATTTAGGTGAAACATGTTTCGCAATCATGAGAATTCTATCAACAGCTGAAGAAAGGATTGTTACAGGTGAAGAAACACTAACTACACTGAGGAAAATGTTATGGCAAATCTAAACTAGAAGAAGTGCATTGGTAAGCGCTCTCTAATAGCCACAGTATCCGTATTCGGGTTTCGCATCCCAAAATGTCTCCAACCATAAATTTCTGGAGTGATACGTTCAAAAATGTTCATACATTTCAGGAAATTCGATATTTGTTTTTCAAATTCACCACCCTGTATCTTGTGAATGCAGCAGCAATTTCGGACTGAAATCGGAAAACTTGAAGTCCACTTGTAGTCGCGGCGTCTAGTGAGAAAACAACTTCTGGCAGAAAGTACTTGTTTTCATTTTGGAATCATCATGTTCATGGACATTGGGTATTGCTGAAATTTTCAATAATATTTTGACAAGCAACTATCTACAAATATCCATGAGATATAGGCATATTTTTGAAAGTTTTGGTCGGGAACGATATTTGCGATCAGGCAAATTAGATGAAAGATCAGAAGTATTTGGCACTGATTCGTACACAGATTATTCTGACAACAATGGATTCAAGGAGGATTCAGAAGATGAAAAGGTGAGAACGATTGAAGAATTATTCAATTTCATATTGAAAGTAGCTAGTAGATTTTGCTTCTGCTTGGCTTTGCTAGACCCTCCTCCTCGCGAATGCAAAATTCGCTTGTCAAACAAACTGTCACGTTTCATCCTAATGAAACTAATGCTAATGCTATTATTGCTAATACTATTTCTTCTGCAACCTGAAGAATTAACTGAAATGAATATGTGGAGTAATCACCAACGTAACTCACTTGACAGATTATTATAAATCCTTTGTTATAATAATACAGGTAACTAGACAGAAGCAAGATCTCACATAACGTGGTGGACGATGACTTTTTACTTCGTTACAATTTGTGTTGACATGCATGATCAGATACAACAGGCACGAATTCAATACTTCACCCAAAACGTAAATGACTTGTCATATGTATGCAATGTAACAAATAATCAGTGTGTTGAGAATATTGTACCTGCATTCACACATCAGGTCTACTCAATTTTCAAGGATGTCACAGAGTGACCCATTTGTGTATTCTATCGAATCGATGAATCGATGGATTCATTTGAACCAAGTGTCTGTCCTAATAGCAAATACCGCGTCAGTGCCAGATATAGGAAAATAAGTGGAAAATGTTAGATCAGTGAGCATATCAACAAAGATATTAGCCATCATTTATTCCTTTTCATATTCCACTGTGTTTAGCTCGGTATTAAAATTGAGGTAAACAATATCGTTGTGTGAAACGATAAGGTATATTCCTGGCCGTGATTATTCAAAAACGAGTTATCCAATCAATCAGATCCCGAGAGTAAATGGAATACAAATCAAGCAAGTATGTGAATCTTGAAGGTTCTCCTGAACAGAACAAAAATAATTTTGGTATCAAAATGGACGACTTCTGTGTCGGTTGCAGAAAAAATGCTTACTTGCCAAACACGGCTGGCTCACACTGATATGTACTCAGAATTTACACAAATATACAGGGTGTTAACAAATGAGTGTCACAACGGGAAATTGTAGATTCCTCATGAAAAAAGGAACATTTTTGTCCTTTTCGAAATTTTTCTCCGGGCTTCCGTTTTCAAGGTACAGGGTGTCAAAAAAATACAAAAAAATCTGTTTTTACCTACTATCTCAGGAACCGTTTGAGCTACGGAGTTAAGCCTTTGTCAACACTTCATCATCAATAATGACTACTTTTAGGGCTCTAGATCAATTCCCTTGGACATGTCAGTGGAGGAGAATTCAACGCCTCGTAAGGATTTAACTTCCCAAAGATTCATGCCACTGGAAAAATTGTAATTTTCAAAGTAGATTCTGAAGACAAAAAACTTCCTCCTGTCTCAATGCTCTAAAGTGAACAGTTTCCGCGAAAAATTACTCTTTATGAATGAGAACACACAAAATCCTGATGGTATCTCAAAAAATCGTCTATAAATCCACCGGAAATAAACACCCCAGATCAAATGTCAGGTTCTTGAGTATGCTGGTCTTGATGCTGGTTTTCAAATTGTCAAGTTTATTAAGTGTTGTAAAATGTGTTTAAATAAACTAAACATTTTTTATTTTTTGACGCCCTGTATCTTGAAAACGGAAGCCTGGAGAAAAATTTTGAAGAGGAAAGAAATATTTCTTTCATCATGAGGAATCTACAGTTTTCCGTTGTGACATTTATTTGTTAACACCCTGTATATGGAACTAGACTCTCTTTGCTTATAAATCATCATCACTTCATAACTCCAAACCCATGGCTATTTCCACAAATCCACAGAACTTGTAAGTTATCGTCCTTGATATTTTTCATCACCTCGATGCCCTAGAAGTGGTTCGGATTCCAATATAAGCTGTAGGTCCCGCTCTTCCTAACCCCGCACAAGTTTCGACTTCTGGGGAGTTGGTTCCCAACTTTGAAGTAGCGATAAACAAATACAAATACAAAAATACAAATACAAAGTAATAGTAGTTCTACTCAGTCATTGATTTATTCTGTTCTTAGCATCTCTGAATGAAAAAAGTAATAACTTTCACCAAAAATTGACGACCCAAGAATTGTGTGTGTAACGAAGTTATAAATACTTCGGTATTGAAACATGAATATGTTTTAGCAATGATGAACTCTTCGGAACAATTTTGACAATACCTAATTAAATTCCTCGATTGTCAGCAAAACCGTATTTATAACACTTACATTCCATCATAAAACACTTTCCTTCACTACAGAAATCATATAAATATCCCGTCTATCACGTAATTGGGATAAAACCGTTTCTCTAGTAGGTACCTAATCCATTCATTCTGAGCATGTAATCTTATACCAAGACAAACAATGCAATGCACAAAGAAAATGAAATTGAATCAGCTCTCGTGCCTTTAGCGTAGGCATCCTTACAAAACTTACAAACAAGCTAACATGTATTCACTGCACTTTAAACGGATGGATACTTAATATTATGTATAGTAGATTAAGTATTATGGTATCCACTATTCACTTACAATTGTAAACAAGTCAGGTTGTATGTATACGCTGAGTTCTCCCTTTATGGAAGGAGAATACAGAAAACGGTTGATATACGGCGGTTTCTTCGTAGCACATTCCATATGCAGAAGAAATTCAGAGCAATCTAGACGGTTTCTGACTCTGGGAAGAGGATATACGAGGTATTGAATTCATCATATTATGCACATATTTTCAAAACTAGATTGGTTGGAAAGCATTATTACTATGATGTTCAGATTATAATCTTTGCTTCTATTTTGTGTTCATGGGATAGTGAGGAGGTGAAAATGTAGGTGATGGCATTCTTTGGCCATCGTGAAAAACACTTCCATTCCACTTGTTCATTTTTCATTCTTTCCCGAATCAAATAATATCCTTGTTCAATTTACTTCCTACTCGAATTCTTTCCCGTGGGTGAATATACTTATCATGATAATAACATCAATAAGTACAAGAAATTGTGGGTTGCTTCGACCTTCTAGACATGGCTCAGGAACTTTTGTACGAGACTCTATAGATATTTAATGAAGATCACAGGAGAAGAAGGAGGAAGGTCATGAAAAGTAAGTTTCGAGAAAAACGCATTTCAATGTTCAAAACCTCCTTATTATTTGGAAGTTGGAAGAAACTGATATCAAACCACCTGGATTCATTTGATCGAGTATAATGAGCAATGAAGTTGAACGACTAGAAATAAAAATAATATTTGAATGAAAAAATCATCGAAAACAAAAAGTAAGTCCAAAGATTCAAAGGAAAATGGAGGATGTCCAAATAAATTGTCGGAAAACTGGAATGTTCACTCGCAATTATCTGCACTGGACCATTTCTCCATTATTGCCTGACTACCTCATAAGCGGTAAGTTGTCATATAGTACTTCTAGCATCTCTATAATCTGATTATTTTTCATACATTCCACGCGATATGAGTAGAAATCATCATGTAGCAATCTCATCATGTTATTTCCATTACTCAGACGTTCTCGACAAGCCCAGTCAGCACACCTTTTTATTGTCAACCTAGAAATATGTAGAAAAATTCTTTACGTAACAAAATGGCCGATGGTCTGGCCAGAAAGGGGGCGAAGGGTTCAGTGATTGGCCCAGAGCCAATCTTAGGGGTCACTCGATTCCGAAGCAACATCAAGATGAAGGAAATCCTGACGGAAAGGTTTCAGGACAGCTGGAGAAAGGCTCCTGGAATGAGGCAGTCCAAACTCCATATAGGAAACCCGTCACGAAAACAGACCAATGCCCTCTTGGCTTTGAACAGGAAGGAGCTGAAACTGGTGGTGGGCCTTCTGACAGGGTACTGCCACCTGAACAAACATCTCAGCACGATCGGGATTGTGAAGGATCCTGAATGCAGATGGTGCCTAGAGGATGAAGGGACTTCTACTCACATCCTCACTGAATGCCCGGCAGTAGTGCCAGTAAGGAATATCCATTTTGAAAGCAGTATATTGGACCCAGAGGATGTTGAAAAGATTTGGCCTAGGAAGTTGGCCTCTTTTGCTCGCGAGATCGGCCTTCTCCATGAATGTGGGTGCACAACGGGCCCGAAAAGGGAGGCCTAAGTGCGTCAGGTCCGGGACCGCCCACACACATACATACATACATACATACAACTCTTTACCAAAACTCGTTCATACAAAGAACGGCAAAGATTTGAAATTTTTTGCCAACAGAGTATTTCCAAGAAAAATTATCAGGGGTTGAAGAAAATCCCGATACCTACCTCCTCTTCTTATATCCTCCCTTGGTACCCAGGATGTTCCCCGAACATTATAGGGATTCCCTTTCGTACGCTTCAAGAGATGATAAAATGGTGGCTTTATTAATTTTTTTTCCATCTTTTGTTTGCCTGAGAGTTCACTTTGACTTGGACGTTCCCCTTTCTTCAAATTTTCGAAGTGGACATTCCAGGTTTTTTTCATGTGAACGTATTTTCGAACGAGCATATTAGCTGGCTATGCTGAGTTATTGCTATGTACTTCTGTTTTTACTGAAATATAGTGGTAAGGCTATCAGATGGCGGAGTCAAGTCAATGCCCACTACTATATTGTGACATTCCTTCTTTTTCCCCTGTGGTCTTCAAATCATGAAATATTATTGCTCGGACATGCTCAGCTTGCTCCTATTAAATATACATTGGGAAAAATCGATCTTGGAATGCAGGACTCATTCATCTAAAGTAACTGATTATATTCTCAACCTCAACAAACCTTCCGGAATTGCATTGAATACCTTGAACAATTCAAAATCTTCCATCATAGAACAATTCGGAACATCCTGAAGCATTTCAGAATGTATTTTCAAGCATTTTCCTATTCATGATCACTTAGTAGTGAAAATTCATCCCTAGTGCAGTATGATGGGCACATAGCCACAGAAGTCCTACTGCAGTCACTGCATTTCAGCCCTACCATGCTGCAGCTGCCCATGATCCTAGAACCCTTCTTGCTAACGCACCAAATCATCTGCAAGAGGTGTTCTAGGGCTACTGTAGCTATTCCTCTAACGATAAATTTGGGCCTGGAGCATCAGTTTGATATAAAATTCTCTTGAGGAACCTGAGTCATGAAAAATTATTTCCGCGGGTCAGTCTCACTAGGCTCTGTGGATTTATTTAGTTCTTGTATCAGGTACACAGTCTCTTTTATTGTTTCCTTCGCAAGTACACATGTTGTGATTCCTCACAATCATTTTCATAACCTCAACATTCAGCTTCAGTTGAGTTCATGTTTGTTTCATCAGACACAAAGATTGTAAACTTTTTTTTCAGTTCGATTTCAAAATTAGACTCTCAGTAGATAATCAACCCCTTCTGTTTTTCTTCAAATGTTATCCATTGAATTTGATAAAAAATAGTTCTTCAGGGTTGAAAGCGTCAAAAAAACATTTTTTCCTATCAATTATCGAAAATTGAAATTTCTTTAACGCACCTGCGCACAATGTATTATTGTCGGCACTGCACCATCAATCAACCTCTGTTTGATTTCAACATAGTCGAAAGCGTAGAACGGACATGAGATATTTTTTTTCTCAATTTCGAGTTATAACTCGAAATTAGCTTAATTTCGTGTTACAACTCGAAATTAGCTTAATTTCGAGTTATAACTCGAAATTAGTGCTAATTTCGTGTTACAACTCGAAATTAGCTTAATTCCGAGTTATAACTCGAAATTACTGCTAATTTCGTGTTACAACTCGAAATTAGCTCAATTCCGAGTTATAACTCGAAATTAGTACTAATTTCGTGTTACAACTCGAAATTAGCTTAATTCCGAGTTATAACTCGAAATTAGTGCTAATTTCGTGTTACAACTCGAAATTAGCCTAATTTCGAGTTATAACTCGAAATTAGTACTAATTTCGTGTTACAACTCGAAATTAGCTTAATTCCGAGTTATAACTCGAAATTAGTGCTAATTTCGTGTTACAACTCGAAATTAGCTTAATTTGACAATATCTCTGACAACATTTGCGATAACAATGGTTGCCATGGTAACTTATATTCATGGAATTCTCGTGGAAATCATCCGTAGTCTCAGTTTTTGTCATAAAAGAAACAGTAAATATTAACCGGTATAACTCAGAAATGATTGAAATAAATAAGTTCGAGTGAATAACAAAGAAGTTTATAAACAACATCCCTGCAAATACAGTAACATCACAGAGATATCGCAGCGATGTAACAATTGTGCGATATCGCATTCTTCGTCGCATAGACGTTGCTGCGACGTCAGAGGGATGTTATTTTGTCACTCTCAAGTTTCATTCATGCGACGTCGCTGCGATAAG